TTGTGGACTAAGTAAAGGTTTGAGATTGGGTAACCTGGGTTCTATTCCCAACTCTTCTCCTGATTTCCTGGGTGACCTTGGTCAAGTCATTTCTCTCCCCTACGTGTCTGTCTGTCCATTTGAAACGTGGGAATGATGATACTCCTTAAGCGTTTGTAAAGAGATCTGAGGTCTAGAGGTGAAAAGCACTATGTTAAGTGCAAAGTATTTTTTTAATTTTAAAAACTGTAGATGCTTCTGATCTCTGCGTCTCATTCTTCCAAAGATTTAACCACATTAGAAGCTTCTGTGCTGGAGTTTTGACTGCCAATGTTTTACATGGGGCGGGTTCAAGGTAGTTTGTAAGTATTGTCAGGCTTTTTTTATTCATTTTTTGTTTGTTTATTAATCAAATTTAGCACTGGTTATTTGAAGGAATTGGCATGTTTTGTATTCCAGGATTTACCCTGAAATCTGATAGAAACCCATTGTGATTCCATAGGGGAAGCAAATGCAGAAGCATAACTCTGGTTTTCTCTAAGGAGTTATCCGTTGTTTCATGACACATGCCGTTACAAATGTCAGGTTGCTCTGGAAGATGAAGGATTACGCTCCAGAATGACAGAGTATGATTTACAGAGAAAAATACGAACTTTCTTCTTTAAGAGACTCCATGGATCAATTTTCATCTTCTGCTCTGAAATGCTACAGCCATTGAGTCCATTATTCTTGGTGCTGTGAATCTGTTTTGTCTTGCTTTAAATGGTATCAATGTAAGAGGAATTTGGTTTGTAAGGAGAGAGAAATATATACTGTGAAATTGTAGCTGATGCCATGATGACTGTTGAATTCAGTAACAACTCCCAAATCTTCACCTCTTTCTGTCCATCATCTATCAGGATTATGATGTTTGTCTGTAATATTTCCCTCCTGAGATGGCATTTATTTTGTGAATTTATGGTGGCTATTCATTAATGTGAATGAGGAGAATATAATCTAATCAGGTCACTGTCCATCAAAATACAGAAAGATGGAGTATCCCAAACATGAACGCAGCGTAGTTTATAATATGTGCCCATGGCCAAGACCATGGAAGAGGGATTTTTTTCTCTTTGAAAATACCAGTCTGCTTATGAGACTCAGGTACAGATTAATTTTAATATTAGTCATTATTTGTATGACAGTTGCATGTAGAGGTTCCAGCTGAGATTGGAGACGCATTGTACCGAGGCTGAGCTAACAGCAACATGGTGTGAGTGTCCCTGTCCTGAGTTGCTTACAGTCTAAGTAGACTAGACAGACAAAGGGCAGAAGGAAGGATTCTAATCTGAAATGACACACAGAGCATAAGTGATTTGCCCAAGGTCACACAGGAAGGCAGTGGCAGAGTCTGGATTTGAACCCAGCCCTCCTGAGACCTCGTCCAGTGCCTTAACCATAAAATCAACCTTCCTCCCCAATTTTGGCTGAATGGTTTGCCCTGCTTGAGAGACAGTCCTGCGCCGCCATGTAGGTCTCCCCAGTGTGAATGCAAAGAGGTTATAGGGAGACGTTGAGGCCTTTGAAGGGGCTATCCTCTAACTCGCAACATGCACGGACTAACAGTTCAGGGATGAGAACGTCCGGCGATGTCATCTGAGAGAAGATGGAAAAGAGGGAGGGGTGAATGGGAAGAGTGATCCTGCGGGGGGGCGGGGCGATATAAATAATATAAAGCAGGCAGAGGAGACAAAAGAAGAGCAGATGTTGAAGAGAATTTAGAGAAACAGAGAGAACGAGATGGCAGTTCAGGATGGAATGTGAGTATAGCCAGCTGAACTGGTGGGTTTCTTTTAGCAAGGGGTTAGGTGAGAGCAGAACTGAGCAGGGCCCTGAAGGTAAAGGATGAGGAAAACCAGGGAAGGGACTCGAGGAAGGTACCGTTGCAGTTGGGGCAGCACAAGGAGGCTTTGATAGTCTTAAGCAGTATAGTGTTGCCTGGAAACGTCCTTTGGGGATGCAGAGGGGCTGGTCTCGTACGAGAGAAGAGAGGTTGGTAGCCGCACTAGAATGCCTGATTCCAGCCGGTCGCTCCAACAGCTCAGCTGTGCGAGCATCCCAAGCCAGTAGAAACCTAGAACTTAATTTCCCAGCTCTCACTGACTTCCGTGGTAGATGTGGAGACTCAACATCTCTGCAAATCAGACCACTTATTAATATTCACAAGTTGGTAGGTGCCCAGATTTGAGACCACTGGGTATAGCTTCCAGATACCATGGATGTGGGCATGGTATACATACTTAGAGCCATTTGTGCCCACAGCTCTTATATTCTGGGCGTCTGTGTGGAGAGCGAAATCACGGACGATCGCTCCACACACCGCCCATTAAACAGGTGGGTTGCTAGCACAAATAATCAACAGGACTAATTCATGTCCATGGCTGCCTCTGCTAGCTCTGTTGTGTGTTTATACCCGGGAGCGGCTTTATATTTTACCCACAACAGCGTCCGTCGGCATTACACGCATCCTGAAAGTCAGCCAGAACTTTCCAATAGCACTTTTAACCATCAGGCATTTTACAGAGAATCATATTCTAGGATGAACTCCCCCGAGGTGGCTGTCATTCAGGAGAAATGTGCGCCATATGATTCTATTTAAAAAAAAAAAAAAAAAAAAAGACCTCAAAATTGCTGTGCACAGGGCCGGAACGTCTGCGGCTGGACGTCCACAAAGCATGAAGCCATGTGGAATTCATACCTGTTGGCCATTGTTGTTCCAGTACAACGTTCTGGATAATGGCCTCGTCTTCAGAACGATAGTTGAGTTATTTCTGTGCCAAGGCAGCTACCCTCAAATATAACTGGGAAATATGGACAGAGCAGTTTGATGAGTCATTCTCATTGCTGTTGGTGGTCCAGGGAAGGATATTGAGAATTGATACAGACTGTGGCTCTTTGTTTCCTCTTCTACTCAGCGTGAAAGGAGACTGGTTGGTTGGTTGGTTTTTTGGCTTGGCTGACAGAAGTCTATATGAATGCTACCCCCTCAAGCTAAACTCTTGGGTGAACGGAGTCCCGCGTAGGGGTGAAGGGGATAGGGGGCGGTGTCTCCGTTCAGTGCTTAGTAGAACAGGACTTGCATTACAGAGCCACCAGTCACGTGTTGGCTTGGCTTGCAGACTGTACTCAGTAAAAATACCCAGGCCCAGAACGAATGTGTTGAATTGCAATTTTCCCTTAGGACTCAAGGTGTTTGCTTCCTGCTGCAATTGAAATCACCAGTGCTGTTGATGCAGGTGGTATATTTTGGGATCAGGGACATAGCTCTAATGATTTTAATAGAGCTACGCTGATTTACAGTAGCTAAAGAGCTGAATTTTTATTAGGGTAGAGCAGAGGTTCTCAACCAGGGGTACACGTAGCCCCAGGGGTACATAGAGGCATTCCAGGTGTACAACTCCTCATCTAAATATTTGCCTAGTTTTACAACAGGCTATGTAAAAAGCACTAACGAAGTCAGTTCATACTAAAATGTCATACAATGAGTTGTTTATATCGCTCTATATACTATACATTGAAATGTAAGTACAATATTTATATTCCAATTGATTTATTTTATAATTATATGGTAAAAATAAGCAAGTCAGCCGTTTTTCAGTAACTGTGTGGCTGTGACAACTTTGTATTTGTTTTTCTGATTTTATAAGCAAGTCATTTTTTAAGTGAGGTGAAACTTGGGGTACACAAGACAAATCAGACTCCTGAAAGGGGGACAGTAGTTTGGAAAGGCTGAGAGCCACTGGACTAGAGAACTTGATGTAGAGCTTTTTCCCTTACAAAACAACTGAAAACACAAATATACCACCCCCACCACCGCTGATGATATTTGTACTTCATCCTTTTCCTGAGCAAAAAGCTTTACAAACTAAAGATGGATACTGTCAAATAGAAGGATTGGATCACATTTTCCAAGGCTGCTAAGTACCATTTTTAAAAGTGACGGAGGCAGTCAAGAAACAAAGTCTCATTGATCATCAGTGGGATTTACACTGCTGAAACTGTTTCCCTGTCCTATGTGCGTGTATCCAGCTCTGTCTCACCCCTGTATAGCCAATAACCCAGTGCTTATGGCACTCAGCTGGGATGCGGGAGACCCCTGTTCAAGTCTGACCTGATTTGGATCAGGGTCTCCCTTGTGTTTTGACTAGATTTTCCATCTTGCACTAAACCTTCCCTACAAAACGGACCCTTCAATTGGAACAGGACATTGTAGTGGAAATCAGCATTTTCTATATGCATCCGAAGAAGTGGGTTGTAGCCCACGAAAGCTTATGCTCTAATAAATTTGTTAGTCTCTAAGGTGCCACAAGTACTCCTGTTCTTTTTGCGGATACAGACTAACATGGCTGCTACTCTGAAACCTGCAAAAAAAGGAATCCGGCTATGTCTACATTAAAAACCCTGCAGTGCCCCAGTGTGGACATGTACTACTGGTTCTCGCATTGCTGCAGTAAATAGACCTCCCCAAGAGGTGGTAGCTATTTTCTTCCATCTCCCTAGTGCTTTCTATACAGGGGATTTAAGTTGGCTTAACTACTTCACTCATAGGTGTGGATTTTTCATGCCCCTGAGCAATGTAGCTGGGTTGAGTTTCTTAAAGTGGCCTTAATTCATCTTATTTTAACTAAGAAAAACTGAATTAACGCCACTTTAATTTGAATGAGAGTGCCCATATGGGTTTAATCCAGTTTAACTAATTCACTTTCATCCATATTAATTTTCCTGTGTGCCCCATGTAGACAGGCCCTGTGACAGTCATGCTATTGGTTTCCACCCAGCCAGCAACAAGCTCAGCCTTCCAGTTGAGTTATCTGCCTTCCAGTCTGTGTTTGCAGTACCTCTGCTTAGAAATAACTGTCCTATGACCAGCGTGGGAGATCTTCACAGGTCAAGGTTGTCCTGTGCCAGCATCTGAAATCTTTGTAGGTGGAGCAGGGCAAACAAACACGGTTGACTGACACAGCTCTTATTTTGCTTTTCAGGGTTGCCGAGGGAGACGCGGACCTCTGGGTCCCAAAGGAGACAAAGTGAGTAAATTGGAAAACTCTTGAAGTTCATTAGATGTGGTTTAGGTCCAGGGGTGAATGCAGCAGACATATCTTCTGATTAGAAACTGCCTGGTGAGCTTCCTGCCCACCAAGCCTGGTGGTCCAATACTTATAGAATGATAATTGAGCTTTTGTTGGGATGTTTTAGAGCCAAATGCAAGCTTGTGTCTTGAGACAGCCTTTCTGTACAAGCACAGTAGAGGAGTTTGAGCTACTAGTATTTATTCTGAACTACCAGTAGGTACCTTACAAAGTATCATTATGCCCATTTCACAGATGGGGAAACTGATGCACAGAGCAGTAAAGTGACTTTCCCAATACCATCCAGGGTCAGACTTGAGAATAGAACCTAGGTCTCTCAAGTTCCAGTCCAGTGCTCTCGCTAGTAGACCACCCTGCCCTCTCTGTTAACAAAGACTCTGTATACCTTAGGAATAGCCTTGTCGACAAAGAGAGACCCTGGATGTTATAGTGTGTGGGGGAGGGAAGCAGGCATCGCTCCAGTGCTGCTTCACGTTGTCTATTAGGTTTGAGACTTAGCTCCTCAGGGTACATCTACACAGCAGAAAACCCCCACAACAGCGAGTGTCAGAGCTCAGGTCCACTGACTCGGGATTGCAGGACTTGTGCTGAGGGGCTAAAAATAGCAGTGTAGACCTTCAGGCTTTGGCTGGACACGCTTCCCTCTCGCTGGTCTCAGAGCCCAGGCTCCAGCCCGAGCCCAAATATCTACCTGGCTGGTTTGGGCTTGTAACACAAGCCACGTGACCGTGAGTCAGCTGATCCAGGCTCTGACACCTGCTGCTGCCAGGGTGGTGGTGTTTTTGCTGTGTAGATGTACCCTTAACTCTCCAGGACAGCAGTGCACTACAGAGACCTATTCCAAAGGCTGTGTCCCTGCACAATGCCTCTTTTCCCAGCTTTAGAAACCCAAACTGCAGCCCTTGGCATGGTTAAATCCCAGTCCTCCCAGCTGTCCTGTCTGTGCGCAGGGTGCCTTTAAATCACCCCACATTCCCTCTTAAACAAGGAAGGAAGACACCAGGGCACTGCTTGAAACTGCAGCCAGCAGGCCCACCTAGGGATGCTGGTTTCTCAGATGTGGCTTAAAACCTTGGCCACAGAGACCATGGTGATTTTGCTGCTTCAAGTACAAAGGCCCTTCTCAACCTAGCATCATTCAGCATCATTCATCTGTCTAAACGTGGTGTGCCCCGATGGATGTGTACGACGTGTGCAGGTCGATGAAGTGATTATTCCCCTCTATTCGGCACCAGTGAGGCCACATCTGGAGTATTACAACTGTAATCTCCACCTTCAGCATCTCGCTTGGTCTGTGTGTATTCTCTGTACATTTTAGAGTTGGGTCAAGCCACATATTTCATTCCCAACTCCAGACTTTCCCAGGGTTGTTTGGATCTCGGGGTTTTAATTTATCCCATTTGGGTCACAGGAATCGGCCCAGTTGTTCAGCTCTGAACTCCCCCTCAATTGGGGGACGTGGTTTTGGTTCAGGCTGGCTCTGGGTTTGTGTTGACTGAAAAATCCAAGCCTGTCTTAAAGGAGTTGCCCTTCTTTTTCCTAGGGGCACCCTGGTGCAATGGGGAGAACAGGGCCCCCAGGAGATCCAGGCCCCCCAGGCGTCCCTGGTGTACCTACCGTTGTTCTCTGGAGAAATTCAAAGGAGGACTGGCTGGCGTTCATGGTGAGTCTAGGACAAGCCCTTTTCTGCTGAGAAGGAAAGGAAAACTCAAACTGCTTGCTCCCCAGGGCAGTGCATACTAGGGTGAACTGCACAGCATCTGGCTCCTCCTGAAAACCCCTGAGCGGAGAGGTGCAGCACGAACTGGGACGGTGGCTTTCTTGCCAGGGTGAAACAAAAAAGGGACTTATAGTTTCTGCATAGAAAGAGTGTCACTTCAATAATACCTGCCACCTGCGGCTCTGAAAGAGCTTCTGAGACACCAGTTGAGCCTCACATCATCGGGCAGCAAATAAGTTCTATGCCCTTCTGACAGCTGGGGAAACTGAGGCACAGAGAAGTTAATTGTCAGATTTTAAAAGCCTGATCTCTATGTTTGCGAATACCTGCTCCAGCCTCAATTATGGCAGTGTTGGGCCAGAGCCTGGCAAAGAACCCAGGACTCTGGAATCCTAGTCCCGTGCTCGATCTACTAGGCCACACAGCCTCCCTCTGAAGAGCCTACAATCTAATTTCCAACCTGGCCCTATGCCTGAGGATAGTGGGGAGGGCAGGTGAGAGTTCTGGCAGTAAGACTGAGTGGTTTCTCAGCTTAGGCATGCTCATGTCTTTAACACATTTACATTTCTTTGATCATCTACTCACATCTTGTGGGCATCCCAGAAGAAGCTGGTCTTAAGGAGGTTCTTAGCATTGCCCTGCACAGTAAGCGTTCCATGGGCCAGAGGAACAGAAAGCTCATAGTCACTCAGAACGCACATTCTGGGGAGCAGTAAGAGAAAACCCTGCGACCCCCAAGTCAGAAACTCCCCCCAGGCAACAGCAGCAGGGTTTGAACCCACGATCTGCCATACCAAAGCACAGGTCTCTACCAATTAACCTAAGGAAGAACTCTGTTAGCAGAGAGAACAGGAATACTTGTGGCACCTTAGAGACTAAAAAATTTATTTGAGCATAAGCTTTCGTGGGCTACAGCCCACTTCATCAGGTGCATGCAGTGGAAAATACAGTAGGGATATATATATATATATATACACATACACATACACAGAGAACATGAGACAATGGGTGTTACCATACACACACTAACGAGAGTGATCAGTTAAGGTGAGCTATTACCAGCAGGAGAGAAAAAAACTTTTTGTAGTGGTAATCAAAATTTGCAGCAGTTGACAAGAAGGTGTGAGGAACAGTGTGTGTGTGTGTGGGGGGAAAATAAACACAGAGAAATAGTTTTACTTTGTGTAATGACCCATCTACTCACAGTCTTTATTCAAGCCTAATTTAATGGTGTCCAGTTTGCAAATTAATTCCAATTCAGCAGTCTCTCGTTGGAGTCTAGCTAGCAGATAGTAACCATAGGCAATTAATCCTTTCCAGGGCTTAATTTTTAATGAAAGAGGGGCCAGGGCTCAAGCAATTTTTTTTACATTCATAACTGATGCCGCAAGCCCAGAGGTGCCGGGGCTATGAACTGCCAAGCCTAGAGGTGCCAGGGCTCAGCCCAGGCAAGCCCTAGCACAAATGAAGTCCTGATCCTTTCTGTGGCCCAGCCATGAAATGAAAAGGGGGGTTGACACTCCTATCCAGCGTGCGATGCCGGCGTGTGGAGTGCTGTATGTTCTGGCACACGAGCTTTGATTAGTCATAACTTCACTGGTGGGCTTCCTGCCGTGGCAGCAGCGGTGATGCCGGGGTAAATTCTGCAAAGCGGTGGAGATCGTAGCAGCAGCTTCCCTGCTTCACGTACCCGCCTTTTCCGTTTTGCCAAAGATCAACGCTGAACGAGCCTCCGCTGGGATTCCTCGGGAGGGCTAATCCGTGGCTTTCTATTTCAAGCATGAGGGTTTTGATATTTTTTTTCCCCCTTCCTAACCCGCATTCCCAAACTTTGCCCTGGGGCAGGGGGAGGGAAAGCAATCCTGATTCAAACCACATGGAAAGAAGAGCAAGACTCCTAAGGAGAAACATGTTTCAAGCCAGTGACACAATTCCAGTTGAAGCTGTCCTGGCAAGAAATGGAAGCAGTATGTTTGGTATTTATTACTTTTCCTTTATTAGAACTGCATGCTGCTGCGACGTGATGTTAGGGAAGGCATATTAAAACATCAAAGGCCTTTAATGCTTTTTAAAGCTGCATCGTATTCCCTGCTGGCCGTGATGCATGCTGGCTGGGTTGCCGGCCAGGTCTGCAGGGGAAGCACATGTTGCTATTTCAGAGCCTACCACAGCCCTGCTTTTTAGCGCTGAGCCAATGTCCCCATGCAGCAGCCATGAGGTGTAGCCACTGGGCCAGCCACTCTACAAACTGGCTTTACAAACAAGCCTTCCAGCACTCCGAAGAGGGGGCCAGCTGTTGAAATTAACCTGTGTTCCGGATGGGGAGTCAGGGACCAAGTAACTGGCCTGAGGCGATGTAGCAAGTCAGTGGCATAGCCAGGCATAGGGCTGTTGAAGGCCTAAATAGCCACAGTGGCAGAAAAATAATGAATTCTACGACTGACTGGAAGATTGTACCCCAGCTTTCAGGCACAGACCTGGCCATGGTGATCCACCTGTTCACGACATCCCAGGCTGGATTAATGCCCCTCGGATCTAGGAGTGAAGCCATTGGAGTCTGAAGAAGGTCCAGGTTGTACCAAACGCACCCACCTACCTGCTTAGCAACGCTGGTTGGCCTGAAGGCATCACCCCTGGCTCCCCGTAGATTAGAATGCAGGTCTAGATCTCTGTTCTTATCATTGATGGGGCTAGTCCTGAGATCAGTTTTCCTCCTGCTGCCGTGGCTTCCCATGACAGTTGCAGTTGACAGGATCAGCCGATAATCGGGGACTTACGGGTGGAGGAGGCAGGACATTCACAGAAGCTGGAGCGGCACTATGGACCCCACCCCCACAAGAGGTGGGAACGCCATGAAATTTCAGATTTAAATAGCTGAAAACATCAAATTTATGATTTTTAAAATCCTATGACTGTGAAATTGACCAAATGGACCGTGAATTTGGTAGGGCCCTAGCTATTGGCCACTGGTGCCATGGATTGACCCATGGTTTGACCTGCTGTGGCACAGCCTGTCTGTGTGGTCTGTGGCCACAACAGGTTGATCAATTAACCGTGTAGGTTCCTAGCTGGCTCTGAGAAGCCACTGGAGCATGTACTTTAGGCGTATTCTTTGTGACGCCAGCTGCATGTCCTGGCTTCGCCTCTGCTAAGGGGAACCCACTTTTTATTATTTCAGCAGGAGGTGTGAGGGGAGAAAGGAGGGGGCAATGCAAGTTTCACAAAGCGAGCTTGTAACAAGAACGCTTCGTCGCTGCTGCCGGTAGCTCCATCAGCCATGTGCAGGTGTGCTGTAAAAGCAAGCGCTCGGGGTGGGGTGGCGCAGGTGAGGATGTGTTCCTCTCGGTGCACGTGTGTGTTGGGTACATTCTTGGGGTGGGTGTTCTTGTCTACATTACTTCCGTCGTTCCCCTTTGTAAATAACATCAAAGAGGAAGGGATGGGGTGGGGGAGCTGTGAAGGTGCCAGCGTGACTGGGGAGGGGAGTTCACCATACGGGAAATGCAAACCGATTTCAAGGCAGTGGGGCCTGTGTTGCTTATGCTCTCCTGTTAGCAATGTGCCAGTGGGGGAAGTGAGAGATGCTTCTGGAGGAGGGGACTGGAGACCTGCAGGTGCTTGGCAGGGGATGAGAGGGAATCCTCATGACTATGAGCACTGCTTTTGATATTGTTCATCACTAGCCAAGCCAGCAAAGGGATTTTTCGCATCACCTGTTTGGACATGAGCAGTGGCATTTCCATCAGAAAAGATAACCCAGCCCTGTGGACACTTGGGTCATTCCTGCCGGTATTCTCCTAGGTTAGTCGGCGCCTGCTGTCACTTGGGTGAAGCCACTGAACTGGCCCAGCTCTCACTCATGGAGAGTACCATGGAGAGCATCCACCGCATGGCAGCCAGATGTTGTGATGCAGCATGTTTGTGCCGCGACTCGTGTTGCATTGGAGAGGGGAGGTTTGTGTCATTCCAAGGTGTTGGCTGGGTCCATCAAGGGTCTATAGAGTCTGTTGTTTTCATCCCTAGATAGTGAAGAGATCATTGCTATTCCTATTAAGGTAGATGGAACGTGAATAATTTACTTATCCCTTCCTGTGAGGTCACATGGGAGCAAACCCAGCACCTGGAATCTGAACCTTTCCAAATTTCTGAGAAGCTTGGACTTGGCTCCCTAGATCCAAACCTGCCTCTTTGATTTTTTTTGTTTTGTTTCAGGCCAGATCAGAACTATAAGGGAGGGTGAATTTCAGGTTTGGATGATGCCAGATTCCTCCCGAGAATTCAAACTGGCTGAAATGTCATGAGGTTTGTGCTGTTTATCCAAACTCTTGGCTAAAGCTAACCCAGCATCCACACCATTCTGATTGCCTGTTGCCATAGACCAGAAATTCAGTAAATAACTAAGAGCGATGATAGAATTACAGAAGTTAGAGATGGATGAAACCTGTGGGGTTATCTAATCCCCATCTCCCTTCTGCTAAACGGCAAACCTCATCATGTGTATTTGGGATCAGCCACCTATCTGATCAGTCACCTTTCCAGTCCTCATCTGCCTGCAAAATGGGGTGAAGTGACCTCTCAGTATTGGAGTTAGAACTCTGACCTTCCTGGTTCCCGGTTCTGAGCTCTGTCCAGCTATGGCCCTGCTTTTCTCCTGCCTGCCTGTAATACCGGTTTTATTTGGAGGCATTTTGTATTAAAGCTCCTGGTTTGGCCTCGTGCACTTGCATTCTGTTTGTTTAACATGCCTAAACTCTGTCACTTGAAAATATTGCCCAAAGCCATCTTTCGTCTGAGTGTTGTGAGCCCACAGTAAACAGTGGTATTATCGTTGGCGGGAACAGATGGTATCTGTAACAGGGTTTTGGAGGCTGATTCTCAAGTGCTCTGTAGTTCTCTGCAGAGATGGTGTATTCTCTTGCTACATGTGTCCGCTGAACAAAACA